GAGGCAATGGGGGTAATCATTAGTGTTATTTGCCAAATACTTCCAGTGGTCCTTTTTAGGGGTGTGTCACAGAATTGTCTTTCCCTACCCCTTTTGAAAATAGATTTGGTCATGTGACCTCCTTTGGCCAATGAGCTCTGTGTATCTGTTCAAGGCAAAATTCACACCCTTTTTTGGTACATTATGCACAGACCTTTTTTTACCTGCCTCAGCAACTGTGGAAGTAGGTGGCAAGCTGGGGCCTGCTCACTCTAGGTCTCTGAGAAACTATTAATAAGAAGAGGTCTTCTGCGAATATGTGATAAACATGTGGCATGTATGGGAATTCTTTTTAGATCTCTGAGATTTGGGTGTTGTTTCTGCAGCAAAACTGAGCTTGTCCTGACTATAAAGGCAACACATAAAGAGAGAAGAGCAAAAAGGTGTTGGGTAACTGATCCAATGCCAGTAATTGCCTACCTCAAGACTCCTTGTTATGTGAGAAAAAATAACTCTATAATTATTTAAGCCAGTTGTGGAAAGTACTTGCAGTAAGAGTATTCTTACTGCATGTCTACTAAAAAAATTTCTGTTTTCTTCTTACCCTCAATACTTCTGACATTATATGTGTGGGATATTTTTTCCCACACCCACCAATTCTCCAACACCAGCAGGGTGTCCTACAATTCAATTCAGTTCTGATACTGGAGTTAGCATCTGATCTGAAATGTTAAGGGTTCAGTCCCACAAGACTGCCCCTCATTTCAAATGCCAATTTTAAGTCCAGGCCTCTGGTACTTCGGGCTGATCAGCTACAAATTGGGGGTTCCCATAACCCCCTCCTTGGGTTTAATAATTTGCTAGAGAGGCTCACAGATCTCTTAAAACAATTAACTCACTAGATTACCAGTTTATTATATAGGATACGACTCAGGCACAGCCAGATGGAAGAGATGCACGGGTATGGCAAGGTGTGGGGAAGGGGAATAGAGCTTCCTATTATTTGGCTGGGGTGGTAGATGTCCTTAGATGAGGTGTGTACTATCCATTTGACCTCAGCCCCCACTATTCCTATTAATTATACCTAACCCATTTTTCTTATTTATATTACTTGCTGGTGCTAAGATGCTTTCTAATTTGTGATATATTAGACAGTCTTCACACTCAGCTGATAAGTGTGTGTGTGTGTGTGTGTGTGTGTGTGTGTGTGTGTGTTTTCTGTCCTTGGGCAGGGCAGATCTAATAAGGTTTGGGTTTATTTTGATGGACATCCACGGTCCCCGTCGATGGCTTCCCTCACTAATGGCAGTTGTCCAGCTCTCCTGTGGGCTGAGAGACCCATCCTGAGGCCAAGGGCTCCAAGGAGACTGCAGTGGGAAAATCGCCAGGTCACAGGAACCAGTTTCTCTACTCAGGAGCTGACATGGAATAGGAAGGCTGCCACCCACCAGAGACCTCAGGACAAACTTTTACACAGCTTTGAGGAAAGGAAAACTGAAGTCACTTGCACACTTCCCTGAAGGCAACAGGACGTATGTAGCTAAAATCAAGGAGCTACACATATACATGTAAACAGATATGTATTCCCATAGTTATGTGTGAGTAGGGATCTCGATGTATATATGTTGCATATTAACACGCACAAATTTAAAAAAATCACAGAAGGGATGAAGGGACTAAGTGGCAGCTTGTGAGAGACAGAAAAAAAAATGAATCTAAAACTCTCTCATGAGTGGTAGCATGAAATAATAGCAAGATCATAGGTTTCAGAGTCAGGTGGCGGGAGGTTCAAGTCCCTGCTCCATCACCTAATAACAGTGAGATTGCAAGCATGTCAGTTAACCTCTCTGAGCTCTGCTCTTTCCTTCTCTGAAATGGGTATAAATATTCCTACCTTACAGAGTTTTTGTGGAGAGGCAATGTGGCAGGGACAGCATCTACCCAGGACTGGGACCACGGTAAGTGCCACTAGATACTTTTTCTTTTCACCAAGCTGAACCTACTGATAGGGCTTGTCTTGCTTTGCACTCTGATGCCCAGTCCTCTGGGTGCTCTGACATGGGAGCAGACCTAAAGGTCTCCTTTCATTGTCCAGAAGTGGATCTTGTAGATAGTTCGGAGGTCCGAGGGGCCTGGAACTAGCTTAGGACTACTTCGTACTCTTCCCAGCAGTGGTTGCCTGATGTGTGCTGAGTTCTGTAAAGAATGGGCACATGGAAACCAAATGACATTGGCCTGGCCTTGGTACAATGAGTCAAGATCCAGGGGCCACGAGATGCCTGGCTGCTTCCAGACCTTGTTACTCCCATGGCCCTGCTGTCTAGTCTGTGATTTCTACTGACAGGTAAGGAGAGCTTTGCACTGAAATCGCCAGCTCAGAAGTGAGCTGTGGCCGTGCCCACTGCCTGTGCTCGCCTGGCCTGCCTGGCCTCATCTCTCCTCTTGGCGACCTTTGCCCTCCTGCTTCCAGGAGATCCCTCTCTGGTACTGCTCCGCCAGGGCTGTGCTCTTGGGTTGGGGCTGGACAGGTGACGACGGGAAGCTTGAGCTCGGTTCCCACACTTGCTCTCTATCCCTGGCTGAAGTTTTCCCCACACCACTGCACCCAGAACATCTGTCTCTGTTGTTGATCAAGTGACCTCCAGGATCTCAATGAAACATTCCCGGCCTTGGGACAAACTGGGAAGCTGGCCAGCCTTTCAACGGAACTCTCCCCATCTTTTCTTCACGGCCTTCTTTTCTCTGCATCTTCAGACTTTCGTGTTCCCTAATCCCCTTCCACACCCCCCTGCTGCGTATGATGGCTTCTTCATCCAGACCTACCCTGACCTGCAGTGACCCTGCAAAGTCAAGCTTCCTCCCAGCCGGACAACCAGGACCTCTCCTGCTCCCAGTTAGGTGTTAAGGAGAAAGCAAGCTGACCTCGCCTGTGCTTGGGAGTCATATACCTGCCTTTAAATCGTTGAGAGCTGCTTTACTGCTTTACTAGCTCTATGCCTTTATTATTTTTTAAATTTTATTTGTCAATTATAGTTTACATTCAGTATTATTTTGTACTAGTTTCAGGTATACAGTAGTGGGATAATCATACACTTTATAAAATGTTTTCCCTGATATTGCTAGTACCCACCTTGCACCATACATACTAATTACAATATTATTGACTATATTCCCTACGCTATACATTACATCCTCGATAGCTCTGTGCCATTAGAGAACTCATCTTCCTGAAACTTACACACAATTTTTTAAACTGTAGATAATAAAAACTATTTGTTGTCCTCGTTACCATTTCTTCCATAAATAATAGTGAAGCTTTTTTTTGTTTCTTTCTTCTTTCCTCTCCTTGAACTATGCATCTTGGAAACCAAGATTGAGTACATAAGAGAAGAATAAAGACATATTTTGTGTGTGAGGACCTGGAGTGGAAAAAACAGAGGACTTAATTCTGACTTCGATTCTTGGCTGGGTGACTTTTGGCAAGTTACTCAAACTTCCTTACTCCTTATGATTTCATCTTTGAAATAGCAATAGAAATAATACTTCCCTTATGTCTAGGCTTGGGGGAGGGTTATATGAGAGGGAGTGTGTGGCGGGGCTTTGAACACTGGGAAAGCCTGCAAATGCCCACTGGGTCACTGCTATGATGTTCTAACCTCTGGCTGGAAAGAATTCATTAAAAGGCGACAGTTCTCTCACCTGCTTTGTTTCCTTTCTATTTTCCTGTGAGGGGCTGTGGATTTGTGTATAAAAGGGAGTGGATATTTGTACACAAATATTCATAGCAGCACCATTTATAAAAGCAAAAAGTGGAAGTGATCCAAATGTCCACCAATGGATAAATGGATAAATAAATTGTGGTGTATGTATGTAAAATAGAGTATTATTCAGCAATGAAAAGGAATAAAGTGAAACTTGAAAACACTATGCTAAGTGAAAGAAGCAAGTCACAAAGGCCATATGGTACATGATTCTATTTGCATGACCTGTCCAGAGTAGGCAAGTCCATGAGAGATGCTGCGTAGACTGGTGGTTGCCTGGAGTGGCGGGGGCTGGGGTGGGGGATGAGGAATGATGGCTAATGGGAAGGGGGTTCTTTTGAGGGTGATGAAATGTCCTAAACTTGGTCCTGCTGATGGCCAAGTGTTATTCACATAACAAACAGGTTCTCCCTAAGTTCCTTTAAACATCGATCTCTAATACACCGTACCATGTAAGGATTTATTTATATCTCTTTGGAGCCTCTAAGAACCTAATAGGGACCTGGCAGAGTTCTTCCTTTTAATCCTTGTAGCAGCTCCACAAGGAAGGGGCTAAGTGACATGTTCAAAGTCACAAGGCTAGAAACACATAGGGCCATTATTCACTCCCAGACCTGTAGAGTCCCTAGAACCCACCCTTTCTGTGATACTTCTTGGCTTAACAGCACCGATAGCATTGGAAGGTGAGGATGCCTGGAAAGAATGAAGAATGCAGAGAAATTCAAAGTCACTGCCAACTAAGGACCCAAAGGAAATGTGTGTTAAGCATCTCCAACATGTGAGAGCAAGTCTCTAGGGTCTCCACGACCTCTTCAGGGTCACAGTCAACGAACTGTGCCACTGGTGTCAGATGTGCTCTCCCCCAGTGACCCAGCCCCGCTCCATCCTCTTCAGGCCTGGCTTCCTGGCAGAAGCAAGAACGCTGGGCAATGTGGAAGGATCCAGGCTGGGAGCTGGCTGCCCCATGTGATCACTCAGGACTCTCAGCTCCAGCCCCTGGGCCAGGCGCCTCCACTGAGAATGAGATTCCTGAGCTCAGAGCTTCACTCCTCTGATAGAAAATCCCCACCAGGTTCAGCCAAGAAGACACCACCCGCAACATCATTAAATTATAACAAGCGCTGAAACTCACTCCAGAAGCCTGGGTCTGTTTGTCCTTGCAGTCGGAAGGAAGCAGGTGATTGGCTGGCTGAGCTTGGCCTAGCAGGCCTTATCTCTGGCTGGTTATTATTTGATTAAAGAGGCTTCCTCCTGCTGGGGTGTTTCAAAACTGTGCTGGGGAAGTTTGCTGCTGCTTAGCGAATTTTTTTGAGGTCACTGCCAAGCACCCAAAGTCCTCCAGCCTCTGGCCATACAAACAGACACCCAGTGGAGCTTTTGATTCCCTCCCGCACAGACTGGGGCTATCTTCTCCAGAGTTTGGATCAGTTTCGCTCAGCACCTGGTTGGAAATAATTCCTCAGACACCACAGAGTCAAGGATACAGGTATTAAAATATATATATATATATTTTTTTTTGTTGGGGGAGGAACAAATTTCTTATGATGTAATGACATTAGAAAGGGAGTAGCTTGGGAGGTGGGGAGGCTGGGTGAGCAAAGTGGAAAGCAGGAGAGGCAGAGAGTGTGGAGGGAGGAAGTGGAAGGAGACAGAGCTCAGATTCTTGGAATCCTTCAGAAAGACCAAGTCAAGGCACGATCTGTTTGTTGGTGCAAAGAGGCACGAGCTCAGATCATGGTGCACTGCCCAGGTCTACATGCTTTTGCTCCCCATAAAGTCCTTCCTGACATCTAGCTGGTCTCTTGGCCACCTTGTCATCCTTCCCTCTGGCTCAGAACCAGAAGTCCTCAGAGGGTTTTTGAATACTCTATGAGAAATCCAATTGCTTTAGCTTGAAACATCATCAAGCCTGATTTGCAAACGGAACATGGCCTTCAAAGGCTCTGCTTGGTGGCACAAAGCCTTGTGATGTAGATGGCAGAGAGAAAAGAGTGGGACCAGGTGCCTCGCTTGTGAGAATTCATTTCCCACTTTGAGATCTGTGTTTGATGTGTGTTGTCTGTTCTCACCCTCATCACATTCCCAACTCAGTGGTGTTGTCTGAATTTGAGTTGGGCAGATAGAGCTTTATGTCAAAGGACTTCATCACTGCAGATAAAAGCTGGAAGTGTCTGGTACCAGCAGGAATCTAACCACCTGGAATGATGGTGGAAGAGATGAAAGGATGACCTTCATCCTTGCTAGTTGTTAGGTTTGGCTGGGGGTGGCTGAGGAAGCAAGGATATGATGCAAAAACAAGGAAAACAACTTTATTTTGACATTAAGTAGAAAAGAATGCTTTGATGGTAAATTGGTATTCTTAAAACTGATTTTTCCCTGTGCATTTTAGGCTAAGAAATAATCATGCCAACTGTATTTCTTTTCTCTAGTCTTGGTGGCAGTCTTAATTCCCAATGTTTCCCACCACATTGTCTTAATCCTCTATGCTGGGTGGGATGTTACCAGGGCTTTGTCCACACAGCTTCTCCACAGGATGAAGGATTCTTCTTCCTGCTGATTTCCCAGGGAGTTCTCTCTGCTGAGGCCCCATTGGGTTCCCTGAATAATTAGTCTGAGATGTTCGTTAAAGCAAATCCTGCCTCATAACTTTTTTTAAAGTCAGTTTTTTATTTTTTAAAAAATTTATTTATTTATTTATTTTTAGAGAGAGGGGAAGGGAGGGACAAAGAGAGGGAGAGAAACATCAATGTGTGGTTGCCTCTCACGCACCCCCTACTGGAGACCCGGTGTGCAACCCAGGCATGTGCCCTGATTGGGAATCAAACCAGCAGACCCTTTCGTTCAGCAGGCCGGCACTCAGTCCACTGAGCCACACCAGCCAGAGCAAATCCTGCTTCATAATTTTAAGGGACATGTGACGAGGTGGAGGACAAGCCCCGTGCAGGGAGTTCTACCTCCTGGGCCTGACTCTCCTCTGCTCTTTTGGAAGTACATCCTTCCTTGTCCATTGTCCGGATGAACGGTCGGGATCCTGCTTGTCTCTCAGGTTGCCTTTTTCACCGTCCTCCATCTTTGTCCTGCCCTGTGGACACGTTTTCTTTCACCCACCATGGTCTACTGTGTTCCATGTTAGTCTCTCTGCTTAGAGCACTGTCCACCCAGCCTCGGCCCCTGGTCTGGCCAAGTCAACAGATTAATCAGGTCTCTGAGCAAAGCCACTTCCTCTGGTCTGGAATTCACCCTATTGGGCCACTAATCATATTGTCTTCTAATTGCTTATTTCCTGATCCACTGCCCCCATGAGACTGGCAGGTTTGTGAGGGCAGGGACCTGCTCCCAACCAGGTCCCCAGAGCCCGGCAGACTCACTGGGAGTAACAGCTAACATTGATAGAGCACCTTGTATGTGCCTGGCATGGCTCTTAGTGCTTTACACTTGTTCACTCAGTTCTCACAACCCATCTAATTGCTGCAGAAACCCTAAGTTAATACACAACAGTAAATGGTGGACCTTGGAGCCCATGCTTTGACTCCTATGCTGTGGTGCCTTTTGGAGTCAATAATACACAGATTAGTGCTATTGGGCCAATGAGGAGAACACGGCAGCTCTCCCATCTCCTCTGCTGGACCTGTTCACCCGGCTCACCTACTGCTCTTGAACCACGGTGGCGGTTGTGGGCGAAGCTCTGAGGATAAGGTAGTAAGTGGCCACAGGCTGGCCTGGGATGGTTTTAGTTCTGCATTCTGTTCTCTCCGTCAGGATCTGCTTTCCCCGTAGGCCTCTCACCTACCTTTGTAGGCAGATTTGACCACTCCTGGGCTCCTACCTGTGGCCCGAAAGGGGCTCCAGGTCAGGAATTTGGCTGAGCCTTGAAGGAAGTACTTGGAGAGACCACTGGCTGGAGATTCGCGGTGGGTCAGACCCTGTGCTAAGGGCTTTCTCTGGTGTATCTCATTTACCCTCCTTGTGAGATAGTGTGGTCAGCATCGTCCTATGTTTTACAAGAACTAACTAAGGCTAAGAGAGCATAACTAAAGTGCCCAAGATGCTATGTGCACAAGCCGAAATTCAGTTACCGAAGTGTCTAGGCTCAGAGTCTTCTCTTCCCACATACCAGACCCTTGGCTCTGGACTCACTGCCTCCTGGTGATGGGCCCCCTCGAATATTCCTGCCAGGCAGATATTCCTGTTTCTCTGTGTGCAGTGAGTGGGGACTGCTCACTGCTCTGTGGTCCTCAGCTTCTCATCTTCCCTGCGCGGACCCCGATCTAACACCTGGCTTGGCAAGCTGAGGCACCTGCCTGGCAACCTCGGCTCTGAGCTGCCCACAGCCCCAGAATGACCCTACCCTGCCTCCTTCCTCGGGGACTGGTCTTGGGGCATCACAGCTGGGAAAAGCCAACCCAAGGCCCCCAGCTTAAGGGAATCTCCCAGGTCTGACTGCCTTTGTTTGAAGAGGAGCACCGCGTGGGGGAGAAGGCCATTCACATCCACTGCTGAATTTTGCTTTTTCTGCTTGTCATTAAAATCATCTAAGCCCCACTTTCTTCATCTTTAAAATGGGTACAACACTTCTCCCACCGGGTTTCTGTGAGAATAGGGATTCTGAGTTTAACCAATCTCATTGTGGGCCTACTGTGTGTGAGGCCCTGGGATGCAGGGGGAGATGAGGCAGAGAAGGAAAGCTCCCTGCCCTTGTAGAATGGGGGCGGGGAGCGCAGGCATTAAAAAAAGTTGCACAAACTAAAAGGTCATTTCCATCTGTGTTGGGGAAAAGAACAAAGGACTGAATTTAGATAAGGGTGGGGAGCTAGCCAGGAAAGGCTTCTCTGAGGAGCCAACAGCTTGTGCCACCTCAACCAGAGCGCAGTAGGTGCTCAGTATGTGTGAACTTGCTGAAGCTCCTGCCACTCTCTGGGACTCACGGTCTGTGAGTATGTCAGGGCCTGGACTGAATGATTCCTGGGACTAAGTGGCTCATCTCTGGTGTTTTTGATTCTCCTGACTCACAGCAAGAGAGAGCCGGATTAAGCAAGGGTCTCTGGACTCCCTGTCCAGTGCTCTTCTTCCCCTGTTGTCTCTGCTGCTGGAAGGAGGCTGGGTCTGAGCTCAAAGAGGGCAAAGCAAAGGGCGGGATCGGGATTCTGTCCCTTAAGAGTCCCTTTCTTCCAGCACCTCCTTCCTGCTCTTCAGCTGAAGCCCGGCATCCTCACTGCTCTGGGACCACTCCTCCCAAATGAAAATCCCTAAGCCAGGGCCTGGGGACGGTAACCAGGTTCTCTGCGTCCTTCTCCCCACATTGATACCCGTGTAGCCTGGATGACTAACCCTCCGGGGGCAGATTCTGCGCGAACGGCGGGCTGTTGGGGGAGGAGCAGGGAGCTGAGGGTTGGAGAGGAGCCCGCGGTCTTCCTTGGCCGCCCGCGAGCGCTCCCAGCCGCCCCCCACCAGGAGCACCCCGTTCTCTGGCATGGCACACAGTGCCTTTGAGAGCTTTCTGGCCAGCCTTTGTGAAGTGCTGGTTAGCATTTTTCCCAGACGTAGCCAGAAGCTCTGGGAGGTGATAAGAAGGCTAAGCCTGAGGAGAAGGAGGAAAGGCAACAGCCAGTGTCAGGCTCCTGAAAGAATGGTGATGTCAGCACCTTCAATTTCCTCCCACCTTCCCGTGTGGGCGACCCTGTCCCCTTGACCTCCACCGCTATCTCTGCATCTTCTCTTCTCTACCTGGGGCTCACTGTTGCCTCAGCTTTCCTTTAGCCAATCTGCACCCATTGCTTGCTGGCCAGGGTGCTAGATAGAGCCTCCCAGGGACGCCAGTGTTTTAGCCGGTGATTCCCTAAGGGAGCAACCCTGGGGGCGGGGGGGGGGGCGGGGGGGGCAGGGGACAGGCATTAAGGCTGACACTTCGAGGCGAACAACAGTCTTCACGTGAACTCAAGGTTGCAAAACCTCTGGTGGGAGAACCATAGAGGCTTGGAAGCTGAGAAAGAAAAAGATATTCCATGTCATATATAATACATTAGGCCAAGAGCATTTCCAAAGAGACTTGGAATAGCAAGTTGTAACCCAAGGCAAATCTCCCCAACAGGCCCTAAGAGGAAAAAATGACGAGATATTTGCCACGGGAAGCCCACCCTCACCATTCAGTTCCCAGAATCCACAGCCTTGCTAATCCCACCAACATGGAGTTGGTTGAGTAGCATTTCAGATGCATTATGGGGCTCCCAGTTGCATGCCGAGCCAGTGCTGAGGAAAACACTGTTGCTCCTGGGCTCTCCAGCAGCACGGCGGGGGCGGGAGCCCTATCCCGCCTTGTCCACCCGCTGCCTCAGTGCCCTGGCTTAGTGAGCTTCGCCTTTGGCCTCGTCGCACTGCTGCCGAGGCTGGTGGGAAGTTCAGCACAGGCTGCCTCTGTGTATCGGGCTTCAACATCCTGGCAGAAACCTCCCACAATGAGTCTTGAAAGAAAGCACCATCCATTTCCCA